CAGTTAACATGCCAAAATTTTGTCAGACTTATATATTTTTTTATTTTATAAGGGTGTAATATATGCATCTGCCTCGCCACATAGCCCAAAGTATAGACGCTTGCGATACAAAAAATATCACTCGCGCCGTCTACGCTGACCCAAACCCCTACCCCGAGGAGCCATGGAGCCTAACTAACCCACCGAAACTACCACCAAATGTTAATGTTATTTAATAGTCCATTTAGTATATTCAGATATGGCTTACGCTCCACTACGCTACTAATTCGAATCAGCTGGACGCGGGACATAATGTCCCCCTAGTTAACATCAATTCCCGCTTTTCAAATATCTTAATTGCTCCGACTGCAGTGTTTGACGGCGTGGCGCATCGCCGGTTTGCTAATTTGTGTGCTTTATACTCCACGCTGATTTGATTGTGAACAACATTATTTGTATTAAAATTATGTACGAATGCTATAATTCCCCACACAACGTTGCAGCTTTGTTTTCCGAGTTTTGGTTCACAAATATAGGTACTAATGTTTAATTGAAAGTCAAAATCACTTTATTCACAATTTCGTTTAAAAAGAGAAAGGATTAATCATCATTACATATTTTAATGCGCCATCATTATTTCCTTTGTTATATGAATATTTCTTACCCTAGTCTGCTTGGATACAGAATTTTCCTGCAGACACAACAGGCAGAACGAGCTATAATCCATCGTGTGGGTTTGGCCCAGTGCGGTAGACACCTACGAGTACGAGCTCTATAGCAAATTGTTAGTCACTCTTCCTACGACCGTCAACCAAGTTTTAGACCAATTTCTGTGCTGTGCCCACCTTTAGTAAAATTTTCGAAAAATTCATGTTAGATCAAATGCAATCACATTTTAATAAATATAATATATTTCACTGTAAACAATTTGGTTTTACACGGGGTCGTTCAACAACCGATGCCGGTGTTGAACTTATACAACAAATTTTTGACGCCTGGGAGAACTCGCAGGACGCTCTAGGTATGTTTTACGACTTGTCCAAGGCTTTTGATTGCGTTTTTCATGAAACATTACTCAGGAAACTCCACCACTATGGATTTAGAGATACTGATCTGGATCTTATTGCGTCATACCTGATGGATAGGATTCAGAGGGTTGACATTAACGGCAATAAGTCTGCGGGTTCGCCGGTTAAAATGGGTGTTCCGCAGGGCTCAATCCTTGGTCCTTTCTTATTTTTAATTTATATTAATGACTTACCTTACTACGTTAGAGATAAGCATGAGATAGTATTGTTCGCGGATGATACATCACTTTTATTTAAACTCAAACGTAAGGAAACAGTTATTGACGACGTGAACAGTTGTATCTCTAAGGTAGTCCACTGGTTTAATGTTAATAATTTATTACTAAATGAAGGAAAAACGAAATGTATTAAATTTGTATTACCTAATGTAAAACAGGTAAAAACCAGTGTGAATGTAAAGGATAGGAATATGGGCCTTGTAGACACCACAGTATTCTTAGGGATTACTTTAGATTCTAAGCTTCAATGGGGCCCACATATTGATAAATTGTCAAATGACTTAGTTCTGCAGCATATGCCGTAATGAAGATACGCCAGTTAACGGATGTAGATACGGCCAGATTAGTATACTTTAGTTATTTCCATAGTGTAATGTCGTACGGAATTTTATTGTGGGGAAACGCCGCCGACATTCAAACTATTTTTGTGCTGCAGAAGAGAGCTATTCGATCAATTTATAATCTTAAAGTTAAGGATACCTTAAGAGATAGGTTTAAAGAATTTGGTATAATGACGGTCGCATCACAATACATTTACGAAAATTTATTACTTGTAAGAAAAAATATTAATTTGTTTCTTAAAAACAGTGATGTTCACACACTTAATACAAGAAACAAAAATAAACTAACTTTACCTGCTACTAGGCTTCACAAAATCAATAATTCATTTAAAGGTCTTTGTGTTCGCTTATACAATAAAGTCCCAAGCAATATCCAAGAGTTAAGCATAAATAAATTCAAAGATAGTATAAAAAAAGCACTTATTAAAAAAGCTTATTACAAAGTGTCTGATTATATTACAGACAAAAATGCTTGGGTTTGAACTGTTCCAATCATTCCAACAGACGTTGTAACAACATAATGATTTGTAAATGTTGTTACATTATGCTTTTAATGTTGTGGAGTTTTTTTCGCTCGTTTTTCTCCGCAGCTAAAAAATATGTCCAATAACGAGTGGTAGGGAAAAAAAATGTTTGGACAATTCAAAAGTGTTGTACTATACATCCAATTTGAATAAAGATATATTGATTTCTGATTTCTGTACTAGATACGTTAAGTAACGGACGACAGATTAAAGAGCGGTTCCCAGATACGCTTTTGCTATGACAATCTTAACCGCACAATTTCAATTTATTTTCACTCTTATTTGCTATTACATATTATTTTTATCAAGCTTATTTTAAAATGATAAAAAATTGTATTACATATCAACGGTAATACCACTTTAACCAATATTAAAATTAAACACAAAGAAAGAGTAATTTCGAAATGAACATTACAAAATCATTCATGATTTTGCAACATGAAACTTAAACACAATAGTTTCATCCGTTCCATGAAACCCACCGCTTTTATCCGTTCATTTTAAAAATACGTTGTCGGACAAATTCACTTAATGCCGCGTTAAATGAACCGTGTTCGCGTAATATGAGATTTTATACTTAAAAGCGATTTCAAAATGGACTATATTTCCGTGAAACGAGAAACGCTCTCTCGACGGCGCTTCATCTATTCTTGAGAATCTGAATATTTTTGTCGCACTCGAACGACTAACGGTTCCGATGGAAAGTTAGAAAAAACATCACATACAAATAACACTAGGGAGTTAGTTTAGTGGGTAGGTAGATAGGGCATGGTGGATTTTCTGCGTGAATTGGAGCGCCCGTCTGAGGAAGTAAACTCCACCTTACAGAAGATCACAGTAATATAATTTTAACTTGGTTCTGTTATGATGATTGTGCACATGTTATTAAGTTTATATTGAATTATAATTTAAGAATAAAATTTTTGTCATCGTTAAGAATCCATTGGACCTTTTTCATGCATACTTTTACACATCCTCTCACATACATCCATTCACTCGCACATTACACACAGAGAGGTCATTCACTTACACAATTTTTATTTTAACAGTTTTATAAAATCCAAATAAGTATTTCTTGTAATATCAGTATTACAAGAAACTTACTTCACTAGCTTATAGGATACAAGTAATTGTCTAAACCTGAGGATTGAGGCACTCTGTATGCTGAAATACAGGATGAAAATCCTAGTTCGGCAGCAGACCCTAAAGATTGTCTTTTATATTCTTAAGCTCATATATGGTGTCCATAGTTTATAAGACGTAATGTTACTGCTGGTCTAAATAAATATTATTATTGTTATAATATAATACTAAGTTTTGGCGGTGCTGTGTTTCTGTCGCTGAGTAAGGTCCCAGGGCTCTACAGGGTGACGGGTGCCGCGACCACACCCGCCCTCTCGGTACGCACTAGAGGGACCGCGGACCTCATAGTGCGTGTCAGGTGACGGTGCAGGAGTAAAGTCTGGTTTTTAGGGGCCCTGTTCAGGGCATAGGTAGGGCCCTGTTCACTACAGCGAGCTCCAGGGCTGGCTGAAGGGGGCAAGGAGGAGTCCCACATACCTTTTTCTCGCTCCCCCAGTGGAGGACCGCGGTCCTCATAGTGAGTGTCGGGTGACGGTGCAGGAGTATTGTCTGGTTTTTAGTGGCCCTGTTCTGGGCATATGTAGGGCCCTGTTCACTACAGCGAGGTCCAGGGCTGGCTGAAGGGGACAAGAAGGAGCCCCACATACCTTCTTCTCGCTCCCCCAGTGGTTGAAGGCTGCGTAAGGTATTTCCCAGACACATAAAAAGGGCTTCACAGGGTAAGGGACTCGGTCAGGGTAAGCAACGGCGCGAGTTATATTTTTGGTATTGCAAGCTTCTGTGCTATGTTGGCCGTTTATCATCAGTCGGGCCATAGGCTTGTTTGCCACTCTTTTAACATAAAAAAAAACACTCGTATTACGCGAACACTTCTGGTTCGGAAACGGAACCCAGTTTTCCAAATAATAAATTTAAAGTGATTTCCTTATTGCGTACAGCGTTTTGCATTTATTGACATGTTAAATTCACCTACGCTGCGCTCTTTCATATTCATGAGGCTTATTTAAAATTAATAAAACAGAAAATGCAACTACATTTTCAGCGCTGCGCCGTATTTCCAAAGAGCTCGTTCCATCTGAATTGTCAAGGATTGAATTTTAGTAATGGGTATACTTTTTGATACTTTTGATTCTCTCGTAAATATGTTTGCCAGTTTCGTATACTTTATAGAAATTATAAATTAATAATATAAAAATAGCACTAAGTAAATAGTGAATATAACCAAATATTCCAAAGGTATACTTTGTCCGTATTTTTATTGCATGAAATCACCATGCGAAAATCTAATCTGAAACTGTTTCATTACTAAACATTTGAGTATTTGATAAATTTATGTTAATTTGCTTTAATAAAAAAAATATGCTACTAACATGTTATATTGCATTAAGTACTTACAGTTGTTCTACGCCACTACGCAAAATATCTATTAAGTGATACATGCTATTAAAGACATTGGAATGTTATCGTGAGTCTAGGTGTGGGATCAGGGATAAAATTAACACGCATTTTGGCATCGCGCTACATACAACTGTTTACATAAACTTTGACAAACGCGCGAAAATGCAACATAAAAAACAAAGGAAGCTCTTGTTGTAGTTATACCTGAACTTGGGCTAGTGACCGTTCTGAACTTTGTACAAATTTGAATCCGATGATTTGACAGTCTTTTATTTTGGTCGTTAAGTGCCAAAGGAAACCAGCAATTTTTCTTCCCCAATAGTAATTTATTTACAGGGGCGAAACTCTGAAATTACTGCGCGTACAGACATGGGCGCCTATTACTGCATCGCTAGTAACGGAGTCCTTGAGCTAAATATACAAATTCGAAACCTACGATTGGACAGTCATTTAGATATTTTAATTTTCGTTCGTTTAGTTCCAGATAATAGCAGCTATTTTTCTTCCCCAGTAGTGATTCATTTACAGGGGTGAAACCCTGAAATTACTGCACGTACAGACATCGGCGCCTATTACTGCATAGCTAGTAACGGGCTCTTTGGGCTTAATGTACAAATTCGAAACCTACGTTTTACAGTCGTTTATTTTTATTTTTGTCCGATACAGAAGTTCCAAATAATAGCAGCTATTTTTCTTCCCCAGTAGTGAGCAGTTACAGGGGCGAGACCCTGGAACTACTCCACGTACAGCGCACTGACATGGGCGCCTATTACTGCATCGCTAGTAACGGAGTCCCGCCCACTGTCAGCCGCCGGTACCACGTCGAAGTCCATTGTAAGTTGAAATCTTTGCGAGAATTTTCTTTGATTCAGATTATGATAATAGAATTGATGGTAGTTATTTGAAAATAAAAGACTATCGAATGTTAAACATCTTCTTAAAGAGAAAAAGGGCTTTTGAATAACCTATTTTCGACGCAGAATTAATAATAAATGAAGGTTATTTGCACCAAAATGCTTAATTTATAATTATGAACTAATTATGTTCAATGGTTTTTACTCGATAGTTTTACTCCAAAGCGGGTAAAAATTAACGCGTCGCGATTCGACGAACATTCGAGTTGTGAGTTTTGCGGTCCGAAGTAAACGTAAAAAATTTATTTGTTACCAGCTATTTTTATTTTATTTCTTTTGGTATGTTTTTCATACGTTAGATATTTTCAAAATATTTATTTATGCAAAATTACTGTAATAAATTACAAACATTGGAAAGGTAAGGATTGTTGATAAAACCAAGCTTGTATTATTAAACAACTAAGCATCTTTCAAACGTTTAATACTTAACTATTCAGGTATTGTAAAATACTGGGCATATTTAAATATTCTTTACTTAAATTGTTTCGAAAAATAAATCATAGCTTAATAAAAGAAAATAAAATCAATAAACATAATTTACTGAGCTCAGGATCAAACCACCGATCAGTTGGTTTCGTCCCCAAGACCGTTACCGTTCGGCTATTGGTCACTTATGGTGGACAATAAAATTACAGATACCTATTTTGTGTCAAATACTCTACTTCCATTTCGTCAAATCACAACGGTGCTAAAAAAGTTTTAACTTCAAAAAATTACCACATATATTAGATAAATATTTTCAATCATATCGAATAAAAATATGTATGTTGTTTTAAACGTTTAACGCGAGAGTAATATTAATCCGTATAGATAAATGGTCATGAGTTTAAATCTCAAAATAAAATGTGTAAAGTGAAATGGATATACTGTCTTTCCATGTGACGTACGAGCTTGCGTAGGTAGTGACTTCATTTCTTTTTGTTATTATTTGTTGTTACAAACTTATATGATTACGGGTCAATTTCAGTGCTAAGTTATATATTTTAAGTGATTTTATTACGAACGTTTATTTGAGAGCGGTGAAAAATATCTACGTCTAAAAATAGCGAAACGTAATGCTGAAATTTAGGAACACTTCGAAATGTGCACATACATCTACATAAATAAGCCAGTGATAAAGTGGCGAGTTGTAAATATTGTAGAAAAACTTTGTCATTTAAGGGTTTGAATAAAAATATTAACTGATATTTTCAACCATTTAAACTATCTCATTTTTTTTCAACCATTAACGCCACCTCGATTACCGACAATAACACATCTTTGTCAATGTTTAAAGATAAATAGCTCTTAAATTCAATTTAAGAACTTTGGTGCATGTGAGCCTTAGCATCCTATTAAGTCAAAGTTACTGGGAAATGCTGAAATGATTTTTTTTATAATATTCAAATACGCTTTCTTTCAGTTGTTAAAAACTTATTAGGTTAGCAGTTTTCTTTATCAAATTTCTTAAAGGAAACTAGCTAGAGAATGTAAGATAACATGTATGTGATTATTAATTATTATATTTTTTTTATTTAGTCATACCACAAGTGAAGGTCACTAACCAACTCGTGGGTGCACCGTTGGGCAGCGACGTAGAATTACAGTGTTACATAGAAGCCTCCCCGAAAGCTATGAACTCCTGGTATCGCGAAGATGGCAAATGTTAGTATTTATTTTATTTCAGTTATATTTTTTTGTAAGCATTTAACTGCTAGATAAGTCGAATGAAAATTTTATTAGTAAAAAAATCCACGCGGACCAGGCGTCGTCGAGCCCCATCTGCTGCCTGGACCGCGTGGTTTTTTTGTAATATTTTCATTATTTTATTTCATTTATATTAATTAAAACACTATAGAGTAGTAATAGGCACACCAATTAGCCTAGCCCCAAAGTAAGCACTGTAAGGCTTGTGTCATGGGATGCTAGGGTAACGGATAGAATACATATATTGTACATAAATAAGTATATTTATATAGAAATACATATTAAACATCCATGACTGGAGTACAAATGCTCGTAATCATCACACAAACATCTGCCCCCACCGGGATTCGAACCCCAGACCTCTCGAGTCGGCGACACCATGAAACCCGGCATACAAACCACTCGGCCACGGAGGTCGTCAAGTAATAACACAGAAGTAGACTGAAGAAATAAGTAGAAGGCGATTTAAATATTCAGTGTTTTCTTTTGCCATTGTAACAACAAATAGCATTCGTAGAATATTTATAGAACTAAAGGGGCCCCACAAAACAATGTTCTCGATCTTACCTTACTTTATTTAACTGTACACCGCAACATTAAATCTTGTGCGATGGACAGAATGTTTTTGAGAAAGTTAAAGGCAAAAAGTTAAAACATAAAGTATCAAGCAGCGGCAGTTTCCGGCAGCTGAAACCAAGATAAGATGTATGAGCGCCATGATCAATGAAGGTGATGTTATTTTTAGAACGATTACCATTGCAATCTAATATCTTAATTAATACAAAACATGATGACTTGTTATAAAGTATGTTATTTTTCACTATTAATTCAAACTAATATGTTATTTCTTAAATTTCCATTTACAAGAAATAAATATTATTATTGTGTTAATATTAGCAATATCTTTTGTTCGTTTACCCAATTCAAGTTTGTAGGTATAAGTATAGAAGATAAACAACCGAAGTACACTTTGGCAAAGATTCAATATCAATTCAAAGGAAATGTGAACGAAGATGGAGCCATATAGTCGAACCGTTTATCCACACCTAACCATTTAATTTTATTTACAGCTCTCGTAGGCGATAAAATAATGGAGAACCCGAAGCTGCGCACAGACGAGACCATAGTGAATGATTACTCGCGGTGGATGAACCTCACTATAAAGTCGCTGTCGCTGGGCGACTATGGAACGTACGTGTGTGCTTCGGTGAACGCGTTAGGGAAGATGGAAAGCCAAGTCAGTCTACATAGTAAGTATATTGACACTTGCGATACAGTAAAAAACACGCACCTACCCTAACCCACTCCCCTACCCCGTGAGACCCTGGAACCTTACCGACAGAAACACAACACCATCAAAAGGTAGTGGTATTTTACTGTGGTCTTTTGTAAGTTGGAGGTTACTGCCTCAGACGAGCGTTCCAATTCGAGCGGAAAATCCACTATGTCCTTCATCTTTTAATGTGTGACAAGACTTTCCTGTGGACAGAATCGCAAATAGATCTTTATCATCAGCCTGTCAAAATGTCCACTTATGCGGCACATTTCCTATGGGTGGAATAAGGAGATCGGTCCATGACCCAGTGTAGTTTGGTGGATACTAACAATCGCAATAGGTACAGCATATCAATCAATGGATTATCATGCTTTCCATTGCAATAATTGTCAATATGCCATCAAGCTCCTCTGCTATCGCACAAAGGAATAGCGAACCTTAATTACCACGCGAGACTTGACGTGCGATTAACTTACTAACTTTTTATTCGTAGCCGTAAATATGACTTTGGGGCAAACGTGACACTGTATGTACGTAATTGTGGAATAACAAAATACGAAGAAGTGACAGTGACAGTTGTTGAATGAAGCGCTAGTGGTGCATGCAGCTATCAAAATATAAATATATTAGACAATTTAGAATTTTGAATATAGTTTTATATAAGTTCAGCCCTGCCAGAGCGTCGAATCAAAATATCACAGTAGTACGAATCGCAGACGCAGACGTGACCAAAGGCTTAATGTGAATCACATGACTAATATAATTGTTGTCTGTTTGCGTATTTTTATTAATGCTATTCAATTGTATGCACTTGATGTACTCACCAATATCGTTTCACTAGTACTTTTAGAGAACACAAAGTGATTTCAGCAGTGTAGAGTGCGATACAAATTTTATGTCGGTTGTGAAGATAGCAACGGGCGCTCTATGTATACGTTAGGTTTTTGTCATCCATTTCATAGATGCCATTAAGTTTGGATCGCACTATAACTTACTGTTTCTATCGAAATTCAGCCAAAATATTTATTATTAACCATTCTACTACTGTTTTACTATTAATAAAGTAAAAAGGATAAGGTAAGCACTACGGATCGTGTTATGGGATACTAGGGTAACGGTTAGAATACATATACTGATACATATACATAAAACATGTTTTATCTAGAAATATATGTAAACCTCCATAACTAGGTACAAATACTGGTACTCACCGTAGTAACTTTTGCCCCACTGTGTTTCGAACCCGAGACCTCTGAGTAGACGACACCTTGAAACCCGGTACATATTATTCGCGCTAAGGAGGTCGTCAAATAAAATGATTTTTTTAAGATTTTCCCTGATCAACGACTTTTAAAACCTCCTTTGACTTTTTTCCGTACAGGATTACAACTGAGCATGAACGGGTTCGGTGCAGAAGAACCGATGGTCTCCGGAGCGGCGTGGCAGCGCGCGCGCAACCTGCCCTCGATGCGTGCGCGCCCGGCCGCCTCACACGCCCACCAGTACTTCCTGGCTCAACAGTTACCGCCGCAACTGTACGCACTACTGTTGACAGCGCTGAGATACGTAAATACATTCTAAATTGAGTTTTATTACTGAAACGGTAGGTCTTTGATACAGTGTAATTTCTATTCAAAATTCACAGATATTATGATAGTTACTGTATTTATATTACATATGTATTTGTTTGCTTTCCTATAATGCGCGCACCCGGCCACCAGTAGTTCGTAGCCCAACACTTACCACCGCAATTGTACGCGCTGCTGTTGACAGCGCTGTGATACGTAAACATATTCTAAATCGAGTTTTGTTACCTGACAGTAGGTATTGTTCTTGAGGATGTGTTATTTAGATTCAAAATGCAAAGACGTTGAGGCAGTAAATTGTATTAATGTTATCATTCATATACCTTGCTTCAATGCGTGCGCGCCCCAGCCACCTCAAACGCCCACCACTTCCTAGCTCAATACTTACCGCCGCAACTGTACGCGCTGCTGATGACAGCGCAGAGAAACGTAAAAAACACATTCTAAAATGAGTTTTGTTACCTGACAGTAGTTACTGTCTTTATCTGATGATGCGTAATTTCGATTCGAAAAGCAATGCAAAGATGTTTTGTTATATTGACAGTTTGTATTGTTTTACTAAAGATGCGTAATTTCGATTCGAAAATCAACGCAAAGATGTTAAGAGAGTAAATTGTATTTTATTACCTAAATCCTAGGTATTTGTGGAAAATCATTTCGTTTAACATTTTAGTTTATAAACTTTAAAATATTGTTTGTGAACTTTATTTTGAACATCTTTCCTCACACAATGAACACAATTATAATGACAAAATTAAACTATGGTTTTACATGGACAAGACATTTTCATGTACAATGTGATATTTTTTGTATAGTTATATTATTGTTAACATAGATGAATTGGAATGTTTATAAATGATTAGTTAGAATAAGTAACGAATGTATTTATAGTTAATGATATAAAAATATAATTAAAACTAAATCGAGTCTATTAAAACTACTGAATTTCAGATTAAGTATACATAAAAAATCACGAATCACAATATTATATAACATAATCTCAAAATATATGCAGTTTAGATTATATTATAGTTAGTTAAAATATAGGTAGTGATAATGTGTATGAAAATTTTCACATAGTAAATATGTTTGTTAATGTTTTGTTCACACTTGCGTGCAAAAAAGTTTATAAGAAACCGTCATTTGTTGAAATTGTAGTATTTCATGCAAAAAATGTACATATTTTTTTGTACGCTAGTGTCATCTCAAACTCCTGTACTACTTTATTACGTTGACTTGACAATAAATGTGTAATTTACGATTACTGTATTATCATATAAATATAATAATTTAATAAATGTCACTAAGAATTGGATTTAGCATTTATTCTAATTTTGATTTATTTTAATCCTATTTCATTTCGTTGGCAATGAATTTTTTTAATTAAAAAGTTTCCGAGAAGTAAATGGTGAAAAAGTCAAAAGGATAAAAAATCTCGACATTGCAAAATGTTAACATAGCTGCGTGTGTTCCCAATCATGAAATTTATATATACCTACATTTTCCTATTTTCCAAGCTAGTTTTATTAGACAATGATGAAAACAGAGAAAATATTTTTGACGTGACAACGTCTTATAATTCGATGGCGCAGGCTGCACGCACAAAAAATATGACTCATGCGGCGTTACCTCGCTCTGAGGCGTTCCATTTAAGGCTTGAAGTGCAAGCGAGAGCGCGCAACGAGCAACAAAGAAGCACAATCGGCCTCCGCGTTCGGCAGTGTTCGACATCTGTCTCTCTCCTACTTGAGTGAGCGATACGTTCGCGTGTACAGCTGCTATACAATAATACATTTACATGTTTTCGTCAAGTATGAAGTGCAAAGTGAAAAGTGAATGTGGTGTCAATTGTTTATAACAACGATAACTTCGGCGATAAAGGTAATGATATCACACATGTTTAAAAGTTGTAAAACAATTACTCAAAGCACATTCATACTTGTAAAAGCTATGTACATTGTAAAAAAAACGTTGTCACGTTCAACTATCGTCAGTAAACCGACTTCACAGGCAACCTATTTTTATCATATTTTAATTTTAAGCATTTATCTGCACGATATATTAAACTAAAAAAATAATAGATAATGATCCCAATGTGTCAGGCAGGATTGCACAGTGCATCCACCCGGACAGCGGACACAGCTTCGATTTTTGCCTGAAACATTGACCGAGTGGTTTTTTTCTAATAAAAAAATCTTAAAATATTTTTATTTCATAACCAGTTTCTACAACCACGTTTCTACGTGGATAAAACATGAACCAAAGGCACGCAAGGCGGGTGGGTCGCTGGGAACAGGGTGGAATGAAGAAGGTGGGTTGAAAGATGTTAAGGAAATAATTCCTGATGCCTGATTGCTCATTTGTGTGACTGAGACTTAAAAGGTGACTGTACCGAATACTTCCAAGATTGTATGACGATCTTTTGTGGGTTTGTAAACAGCAGGACATTGAGGCAAGCGCAAGTTTAAGTATATTGTTATCTTCTTGCTTGACGTCCGCCGCCTTTTTCCAAAACGTAGAATTTATTTAGTCTTACTTCAAATCTAATGTTGTCTCTGTCTTATTTTCAGTATACTACTACAGGTTTAACTTAGGACTACATTTTGCTATAAGGCGGCTAAGATTTAGGACTATAGTCTAGTATACCCGAGAATTCTCAAGATCCGTGTAAAATAAGGGCGAGTAAGGCGTCAGGTCATTTTCACAAAAAAAGGACTCATGTGATTTTTATGTTGGCAGCGCATGCTATATATAACCTATAAGCGCTTTCTATAACAAAATACTACTTTAAATCCGATCTCGATACTACAACCATCTGTATTTTTAATGAAACTTAATTTAAATGAATGATTAGTGAGTATATAATGCATTAGTGATGGTTTGCCAAAAAATAGCCTGAAATATCTTAATTTATATTTAGTTACATCCATTTATTAATTTAAATTGCATACATATGTTTTAATTTATTATCTTTACGTCATTTGTAAGGAAATGACGTGAAGAATTAAAAAAAGAACAGTTGCCAGCTCTCCATCAACCGCAATTTTGAGGTTGTCAAGTGTTCATTTAAATTCGTTTTCATTAAAAAAACAAATGGTGGCAGAAGCAGGATCTCGGACTATAGCGCCATTGCCTACCTTTACTCCTCCGAAGAATTCAAAAACAATAGTTCCCAACTCTCAATCAGCCGCAACTTTAAGGTTGCCGAGCTTTCATTTAAATTAATTTTCATTAAAAAACAGATGGTGGCAGAAGCGGGATCGCGGACTATAGCGCCGTTGCGTACCTTTACTCCTCCGACCGACAGAAACACAACACCGCCAAAAGGTAATGATATTTAACTATTGTCTGCTGTAACGTTGAGGTTGTTTCAACAGACGGGCGCATCAATTTGAGCGGCCTCACTTCTCATATAATGCTCCAGGAGAAACTGTTAATGTATTTTAAAAGGAACTTGTCAAGAGAGTACTTGGTTTTCTATATACCTATGAATAGGAATGAAATATTGAATTTACGATAAATGTAGAACTAACCAACTTTCATCCATATACACCTTTCATCCTAGATTGAAAGCACAAGAAACAAAACTTATTAATTTAAAATTACAGTCTACATATTTTTTTAACAACTTATTGCTATATAAACAATTCAATAGATATTCACAATACCATTTAAGCCAATTAAAATCCAGTACTATCTATTCAAACGAGAAACGAGGTATAAATAAAAATCTCTTCAGCTGCTTTTATAATACCTATTATATTTTTGTCTAATTCTGTCCCACTTAAACCGAAAAGCAAACTGTTTTTCCCGACAAAAAAGTACTGTAATTAGGCTTCTCCAAGCAGGATAAAGAAGACGAATGACCGAACTCGGCTAATGCATTTTTCGTGTTGCACTTGAATTAATGCGTCGCCGCTGCCCTAGACCGAGGCCGGTTAATAACCGTGAAAAGGTTAAGTTGTAGACATCCATTCGGAGCGCTTTCCCCTTTTATCGGGCTGTCCAATTTCTAGAATTGAAGGATTATAGAACGTTACACAACTATTGTTCATTGCAAAGATGTAGGTTATGAAAGAAATTGAAGTTATCGATCTACCATTAGTGATAGAATGGTATTAGATTTTTATTTTAGGTATGGTTGCGGAAGTGATTTGGTGCTCAGAAAATTAGTTGAGTCCGAAAGTGTGATTAAACTGTTATTTCCTTTTTATCTTATTAGGAGAGAGCGAGTCAAATCCACTAGATGCGGAAACCACACGTTATGTTGATCGTTAAACCCCTAGAGGTCTATATCCAGCTGTGGACATCCATTGGCTGATTATGATGATATGATGATTAGTAGATATGCAGGATATATCGTGGGCAAGCCTCCACCAGGTGCACGACTCCTTGCGTGGCGCTTGCCGCCCCAACGATCATAGGTTTTCTCCTTCTCTCGTTCTCTCTCGCTGTGTCTCATTATACTACCGCGGCCCTAATTGTCCGTGTCCAATTTTTTCTAGTATTTCAGAGGCTGCTAGGCAAGACTGTACTCCTGCTAAACCCATATAAGTTAACTCTGTAATATCATGTTCCTGAAACAAGCTCCACTTACGAACAGGATACAGGTTATCAAAATATGGTGAAACCATCGAAAAAACACAGATAAATACTATCGTTATTTTATTACTGCAAGCAGTTTCATTGTTACAGCGACTAAAAGGCGATGTAATACGAGTTTTATTATACTCGTTTCCTTATGCTCTCACTAATTATACCAACATTACTATACTTCTGGAGACATATAACAGCCCACCTAGCATTATACGTTTTGGCCTATATGGTTTTGACGGTCCCTAGCTAAATATAAATGTTACATTGAGCCAAAAGTTTTAACGCAGTTTTGAAGCTGATTTATTAACTACCTTTAAAAATAAATAATAAGTGTGCTTTTAAAAATATATTGAGACTAGCTTTTGCCCGCGATTTCGTCCGCGTGGACTTAGCGATTCAGGTAGCAAATTTTAACGAACCTGCTTTTTCATCAATCTGCTTACTATTTGAAAACTATAAAGTTAGTGGTTTTATATTATAAAAACAAATAACGTGTAAATTTCTAGTAAAATTTTCTTTAGATTTAAACATATAGCAGTTAAAATGCTTAAGAAATAAAAATATAATATAGATACATGTTATTCTTTATTTCTAATCTCAAGGATAAATACTGAGATTCGAGTTAATCGAACGCGCGTTAAAATTATTTAAATAAAAACTTCGGATCCCTCCAATCCTCCCTTTAGGGATAATTTAGGCAAACCAAAAATGGCAAACTTTAATCTTTATATAGAGAAGTATTCGTTTTAATTCTATTAACCCAAACAGTAAGAATTTTCATAAAAATCTTTCACCCTGTTTTTATCCTCTTAGGGGTAGATTTCGAAAAACCCTGATTTACTTTATTTTTTTTATTTCTGGTTTTTAGTAAAAGTACCAAGTTTCGAGTTAAACGATACCTAAGCCAAAAAAAAATTTCTATATAAAATCTTTGACACCCTCCCAATCCCCTTGGAAAATTATAAATGACGAGCTTTATAATTTATTTAGAAAAGTATTTGTGCCAAGTTTCAAGTCTATTAACTCAAGTAATAAGATTTTTCATACAAACTTTCACTCTCTATTTTAACCCCTTGAAAAATCCTTTCTTAGGAGGTCTAGGGTGCACCCCTAATAAGGAACCTACGTGCCAAATTTGGAGTCTATAGACTTAACTGTTTGGGCTGTTTGTTGATATGACAGTCAGTCAGTTTCTTCTCTTGTATATTTAGATTGCTCAACCTAACTTAATTATATTTTGGCT